ATGTTTTATTCAAGATTTACTCATTGAATCTATCTCTAATTCTATTATAAGTAAGAAGAAATTTTTAAGTATCATAATGATTGATATTTTTTTTCTAAAAACTTATGATATAAATCTAATTACTACTTATTGCTACTTATATACAATGAAATACATGTAAAGATATAGATATGCAAATAAGAGCTTATAATATATACAACTATATATAAGCAGACATTATGTTTACTTATTCAACAACTATACTAATAACTATACGCAACAATAAGTTGTTGTATTTTCTTTTCTTAAAAGTAAACAAAGAATAATTTCTAATGATCATGATGGTTTTTTCACAATGAAGTACAAAATGCAACGACAAAGTGTTAAATTATCCTTTCCCTTTTATCCTTTAATATTTATATTCTTTTATCTTGTTACGCAAGAAAAGACTTCTTTTGACATAAAAATATATGAATAGCTAAGACAAATTGTATCCATATCTACAAATCTCTATGCTTTAGTGTAATTTGAAGGAGAGTATGATCATTAACTAATCTTAGTGAGGTAATGATGAACTGTTTATTTCCATTTTTAGAAATCCTCAGTTTTTGTTTTGTTTGTTTGTTTGCTTATTAATGCATGATTAAAATGAATTCAGTACATTCAGATCTTGAATTAAAGACTGATTATGCTGAAATGATGAGTCGAAATCACATGATATTCCATTTTCCAACTTTATTGATTATATAATATGGTATCTGTCTTACTCTAGACAGAATCAATCCCAGAGCTTGTGGACTTATAATTGAATGTCGGGAAATTAATCTTAATGATAGACACAAACAAGTACCATATTTGAAATATTTGAAATAAGAAAATATGAATAATTACATCTTAGTTCAATTTCTTAATAGTACCATGAAATCTAAGTTCTCGGAGTCAAATCGCCCACCACTCTACGGTTGCAGACTGTTAGTACTTCTGAAACTAATATTAAACGTTTTATAGCAACTTATGTGCAACTGAGTTTGTTCACATTTAATTCGATTAAGCCCTTTTTTAAGTCATTTAACAAACACAGTTATTCGTACAACAACAACTTATCTATGCCATTGTGCCTTTATTATTGTTGCGCTTGTTGTATGAATATGTATACCTGAGCGTTGCTTACCGCCTACGCACATATTTATTCTGTTAGGTTTAATGTTTGTCGCTTAATTGATTCGACGATTCACTCATCTCCCTATGTATATATACGTACATTTTTATCCTATTCATTTTGACTCGCAAACTGGCTTTTCGGCATTAGCCTTTTAATTATTCTTTAACATGTCTGTGATATTGGTGACCTGTGCATCGTGCAACAATAAACGCGATCAACACATCGTGCTCGCCTTCTGATTTGTACACCATTGGGGACATTATTAAGTAACGATTATCAGGACGAACTGTTTAAGAAGTTTAAGTAGTATATCGAATACCGACCAATACAATTTGTTTAACGCTATTCGATTCTTACTGACTTCCTAATTGTTATTATTTAATGATAAAAACCGCTAAATACAATCTTCACAAAACAAATAACACTAACAATGAAATTGTATTATGTAAAACAAAAATCTGATACTTTTCATTTATTTGTACATTAATATTATTTACCAATAATAATCGGACTACATTTTCTCCTTGTCAGTTCCACCTAGAATCATTTACGTTGATTAAATGTTTTATTAGTGGACTCACCCTATGGATGATAGTTGATAGAATTCCTTTTCAAATAACTTAAAACGATTAAGAATTTCTGATTAACATGACACAGTTAAGGACATTTTAAGAAAGATTTTGAAATTAGCTTGGTACATTATGTTCACTAATTCATTAAATTCAAAAATCATTAATTAAAAATACTATACATTAGTTTCTTAAATGGATAATCATGGAAGGAGTCTAACATGCTTTCTACGTTTTTTTATTGGGGTTAATTTGACTTGAAGACTGCTCGTTATCATAGGTTAAACCACATAGCAAGTCCTAGTATAAGAAGAGACTATATATGCCAAGTTTGTTTGAGAAAGGACCATGGAGTGTTAGATCTTGTGGCCCATTTCTTACCATTAAATCATCGAGACAGAATTTAATTATTCACATTTTGGAATCAAGGTCCAATCCTCCAACACTAATCCCTAGCAAAAAGCTACCTTTAAATTAAATTGACCTCTAGGATTGTTATCAAATAAACAGTAATAATGTGTTCTCTTGTAAATAACTTTGATGCGGATTCCCACGAATCTGATCGCAATTCACAAATAGTTTTTAGCTAGACCAAGTGTAGAGCGATTACCCACTAGCATGATTATTACAGTGTATCGGAAATGGAATAATGTTATTAGTACAAATCACTCGATTCCAAACCAATGATCTTAAATTAAGGAGCTAACTGTAGTATCTAAGGTTTTTGAATTCAATTCTTTCCAGAGTTTCGATATGCTCTACTAATGAACCTTATATTAGGACAAAACTATTCAATGATTTCTGAATTTCAAAGATTTTCTGGCTGTTGTAAATTTGTGATAAATAACCATCTTCGTATTTCTATCCTAATTTTCATGTTGTGACTTCCACTAAAATAGTTTATGGAAATTTACCTTCTTTCTTACTAGTACGCATATTAACACTATGGAAGGATTGTAGAGAATGTTGAATTTCACAGTTGATATCATCGACTAATAATTCTATTCAACACCTAATCTTGTTCAGTAATTTTTCCGACAACAGCAATAGTAATAAACAAAAGTGAGGAATATGAACTGTAACACATAGGATTAATAAGCAAAGATGAATAGTGGCTAACAGTGGAATCCAGGATGCACGTTTCGTCCTATTTGGGACTCGTCAGCTGGATCTACCTGGATCTCACAGTTGATATTCACTCTGAGAATCAACCCCAGTACCGTTCATTTCAAACACTATTGCATTATCAACTCAGCTACTGAGTCCTAATATCCACCTGCTTGTGCAATGGGGTGAAGTCTTAAATTCACTTGATATTGTTTACATGAATCGTCCCATTGCTATTTATGACTATAAGTGATCTGTTTCTTATTGACATATATGCATACTGTGCGCATTACCACGATATTGCCTTAATTCACAAGCATTATAACCTATAAGAGATTGATCAATTGTACTCTTAATCATCAATGGGAAGATTCAAGTAAACAATACCAAGTGAAAATAAGATTAATATTTCTCTGAAACAAAAACAGCAATAATAATAATAATCACAAATTCCATGTCATTGGTTATGAAAATCTTTGATAAATTTGAAATTAAAAACCTTCACTATTTTATTCTTTACATAAAGTAAAACTGAGTTTAATTGTGAAATACAACAAGGAATTTATTTATATAATATAAAACATTCTTTTTGCATATTCGTTAGCAACATCATATAAGTTAAAGTATGGTATTTTAAGTATTGAAACACGCAAATTAATCCCCTTTTTCTTTACTATAATTTATCTAGTTTTGATAATGTTGTAAAGAAGTTAGGAATATAGGAAAGACAAAAAAATTGAGAAATATCACTGAAATTTACTTGAATCGATTATTTCCTACATTAATATATTTCACTGATTGAAATCATGAGTCAGTTGAAGCTAGACCACCATGGAAAACCTGGAAGTACTGGACGGCCGTTTCGTCCTAGTATGGGACTCCTCAGCAGTGCTTCCGGTTTTCCATGATGGTCTAGCTTCAATTGATTCATGATTTCAAACAGTGGGATTTCTAAAATCTCCACAAAACCCCCTCTGATATTAATATATTTGTACGTTGAAGAGAAGTTTTTTTTGGAACAGCCATTGAATAATATCAATAAACCATTATAATGATAAGATTAAAATAAGAACACTTATTATCCAGTTATTGTTAAAGTTGAATAAGACAGGTTGTTTATAAAATACTTCAGTGAAGATAAAATATAACTCTCAAGATAATCTAAATAATTTACAATAGCTATTATTTAATACTAAAGACTGAGATGGATCAGTCTCCATCGGTAGATGTCTGTCATGAAGACTTTGCCTAAATATTGCCATGTTGAAAATTTTTTTCTTAAAATCAAGAATGGAAAAATATAAGCTACTGAACATAAGCTCAAATTCATTACAGAAATTAGCGGGTATCTTAAATTGGTAACTGCCCACTTGAGTATCTAGGCTACTTGTTTCTGCCATCTAGATATTTCAACAGGTTATCTGATTTTGTTTGTTTTAACACATCATTATGCTTATTAACCAGGCAATCTATTCAGATACGTTTATGACCTTTCATTGTACGATTAGCGAAAAAGTAAAAACAGAGACATCCTGGTTGCTGTCAATATATAGCGAAAAGAATATACTCTATTTAGATGTCGATTCCTGAACTGCTAACATCTAATTGGCAACCATTAAATATCTATCGTCAGGATCGATCAAGAAATAAGAACCGGAAACTTGTTGACATACTTTGTGCTGAGAATTCTATATTGCATATAATATTGAATAAAAGCACTAGTAATAATAATATTATTAAAGTAATGACCTTCAAAGCAGAATGTACTAACAGATGGTTGCCAATTTTATTAGAAGTTAATTACTTCAGTATATACAACAATCTGATATCTGTATCCAAATAAACTAATTCGAAATCTCAACTTCATAAATATTACCAAATGTTTCAAACAAATTAATAGTAGGATCAAGTAAAACGGGATTTTAAAGTGTATTTTTGACCTAACAAACGTTGTATGAAGTCTACCGAACCATGGCAACTTAAATTATTTGCATTTATAAAATTCATTTATACAGTAGTAAAACTATTAGCCATTTTAATTCTTCATAAAACTAATAACTGTAACTTAACTTTGATCTCTCTCTCTCTCTCTCTCTCTCTATATATATATATATATATATATATATATATATAAGGGAGTAAAATATTTTATTTTTATATATAATTAAAGTATAAACACTTACCTGAACAGCGTAGACCTTGACGTACCAAACCAAATAATACTTCCCCACAATAATCACAAAAATGTGGTGATCTATAACTGTGTACTTGAAAATTGTGACCGACAACTTGTACTTGTCTTTCAATTTGAATTTTATCTAAATATATGTTTTCCAAGGAAACATTTATATATAAGTTATGAAATTCTATGAGAAAGATTGTTATGAATCATTTAAAATTGTAAAACAAAGAAAAATAAAACAATAACATTAGATGCATAAATGATCAATAAGTTTGGTCAAATGTTCGATCAAATTTACTTTTAAGGTTTCATGTACATTATCATTTAGTCATCTGGAAACTAGAACACTCAAAGGAACAAACACTTAATCAAATAATTCAAAATTGACTACATCGTTAAATGATTTTGAAAATAACAAATTAAACTTCGATTTATTCTGAAATTATTGAATTATTTCATTAAAATATTTATTATCAGAATGCGTTTTGTGGAGATTTTAGAAATTTCACTGGTTGAAATCATGAGTCAATTGAAACTAGACCACCATGGAAAACCTGGAAGCACTGGACGACCGCTTCGTTCTAGTATGGGACTCCTCAGCAGGGCGCATCCACGATCCCGCACCCCACGAGAGTCGAACCCAGGACCTATCAGTCTCGTGCCAGGCCCTTGACCAACTAGACCACTGAGCCGGCATCCGATAGTGTTAATGTCTAACTTCAACCAATCCACGAAGTTGCACCACCGTACACCATTGTCTTCAGTGAGTTGATATCTCACAACAGACCTGATTGAACTCCACTGGGTTCGAATCTCGCGGGGAGCAGGATCGTGGATGTGCACTGCTAAGGAGTCTCATACTAGGACGAAACGGTCGTCCAGTGCATTCAGGTTTTCCATGGTGGTCTAGCTTCAATTGACTCATGATTTCAACCAGTGAAAATATTTATTAATTATACAACCATATATTTTAAATCTCCATGATATGAAAACCTTTCAAGCAGTAAGCTAACGATTAAATTATATTTCATTGAAATCATGAATCGATCGGTGTTAAACCATCATGAAAACTTGGAAGCACTTCAAGGCCATTTCTTCCTGGTACGGGACTCTTCAACTGTGCATATTCATGATTAGATTGTAACCTCAAAGTGTTATATGATTTCATAAAGTTAGAACCATTTTTCTTATCTTGTGTCTCAATGGGTATATTCCACTTATTTATAAGTTCTCATCTTTTTTCTACCAATGTTTATTTATCTATATAGCTTAGGTCGACTCATGAATTCAACTATCAAAATTCTAGAATTAACGCAAAAGCTTATAGTCATAAAAATTTAATCAAAAGCAGCTGTAATCTCACTACAACTAAATGACGGAATTAAATACCCTAAAGAATTTTCAAGGATTGTTATAAATGGAGAAAAACTAAATTAGAATGCATAATGAGAGAATGAAAGAACATCGTTGTCATCCCATATCGTCCAAAAACAGTGATGTAAATTGATAGGATTTTAATCAAACGTATTATAATAGTTTATTTCCAGAACATAGTTATCACATGGTTGATGTTAGTTACAGCTTAAGACAGAATACTAGAAGAAGAGAAACAAGGTGTTGTTTATGAGATCAATTATCATGAATACAATGTTTATGTGGGAGAAACTTCCAGACAGACACTCACTGAATATTGTCTCCGAATCCTCAGTTGATCTTAAGAAATTTGAGAATAGATAATCGATTATGTTACATTCGTTAAAAACAGAATACAAGAATAACTTTGAAAGGACCAAAATACTTCTGAAAGGGTTTAGCACGCATAAAGACTGATGGCAAAAGTACTAAACTAATCAAAACAGCCTGAACAGAAGGATGGAATACAGCTAGCCACCAATTGGCAAATGCTTATTAACAAGTAATTTGGATCTTATCCTTGTTTACTCTGTCTGCATCACACGTAACTTTATTCTGATTAAAAACCTATTTGAATATTTTGACATCACAGCTATATATTTGACGTTTCTCATCATACATGCACTTTGATATTTCAAAACACTTTTCAGTTTATCAGTTTACTGTTATTGTTATTTCTAATAGCGGTTACTAATGAACCAGAAGAAAAAATCCTGAACACAAGTTTGTTGATTCGATCGAATATGAGAGAAACGAACTACAATATATAAAACATTTAGCAACTAATATAAACACCACACTAAGAATGAAAACTTGATCTAAGTAGCTCAGTCATAGTACGTTGACTATCACAGTTAACTGGTCAGCATTAAATGTATGCGAGCGAGTCTGACTGAACTCATAACTGAAATGAGGTAAACAAATCAAATAAACACTGATACAAATAACTTATAATCTTTTGTTCAAGTATGAAGTCAAACAATTTGGGTTTTAATGTTTAGAGTATTCAATACTGGACTCAGTTACTTATTATATTTAAGGCTATATGATAAAACAAATAACTAAAGAAACCAACTTTATCCTAGTTTGAAATTTTACATTATTCGATCATGTAGTGTTGGTTTCTATGTTAAACCGACACAGATTATTCTAGATTCCGGACAAGCCAATTTATTCATTCTTCTTGAGTCACATTTTGACCTTGTCAATTATTCACTTATTAAACTTGACTGTTTTTATATGATCGCATGTGTGTGGATTTCTTATCCTACTCATTACATGTCTGCAACTTATTTTTGTTCGACTAAAAATATCGATTCATGCTTGATTAAGTCGATTTGGCTAACATACCTTCTACAATGCGTTTTATTTCATTTTGCTTCGCTTCCCGCTAAACGACTGTACGAAATATACGTCTTCAAAAATCCATTCTCGTATTTGACTTATTTAATCCTATTATTTACCGACGCTACTTAAGTCGGTGATTAGATATGAGGATAGCCGACATGAATAATTCAATAACAAACAGCAAGTGATCTATTTGAAGTCAGATGTCAAGCCACTAAAATCCACAAAACATTTTAATTCTATAAGTCTACTTGTAATGTACTGGTTCGGTACTATAATGGTACTCAACGATCAACTTAAATCATCATAAAAAGAATTTAGATTGACACATAACTCATCAATGAATGTTGACCTTCACTCCAAATCTATTTATTCAAAAGTGATTTGCTATTCATGATATGCGTATTGTATACTGTAAACCAACTCATTTTCAAATTATTCAAAATTACAACGTTTTTTCATTAAATGTACACGGTTTCCTAAAATAATTGAACTTGGATATTCAAATTTGTAAGGAGGTATTGACTTTCTCTTCTGACTTTACTTTTTTATCTCATTTGTTTTCATTTCAATAAGAAAAAATATATATATCCTTTCGAAAAACAAACCATTGTGTTTCTATTCATTGAGGTTATAATCTGTATGTACTTTAAACGTGATTTCTTGTTATTTTAAGGTTAGAAAGTGTGTTTGTGTGCATGTGTATATATGTGTATGTGTAGAGGAGTAGTTAGAAAGGATTAAAAATTCTATTGAGAAAATCAAAACGAATATACAGTTAGTTGTTTTCTTTTTCCTAGAATTTGTTTTTTCGGTTTGGTCCTAAGAGAAATGAAAAAATACAAAAACCAGCTAACAGTGTTATTTAGAGATGGTGAAGAAGATTTATAGTTCAAGTGGATGATTTGGATGGAGTTTTGTTCTCTGAGCTGAATGGTTTGGTCGTGGAGCTTTCATTGTTCATCTGAACGACATTATCAGCACAAACTTCAGATAGACTCCATCAGAAAAAGTGTTATTTAGAAATATAAACGACTGAAACGTTATTACTATTGTCAATATATTTTGTGATACATATAATTACAGAGTGATATTATTCATTCATAAAACTGATAGACCAAACTCTCATAATGCGTAACTCAATAAGGTATAATTCTTAAGGTTTTTATCTACATTAAGAAATATGAGGTTAACTATCCCTTTTTCAGTGTCCAATAAAAGCAAAATATCCAACGTTTTCGAGCATTTTTGTAGTTCATTTAGTAAGTGCTGGATCTAAGAGAATAACTTTTATCATGGATTTCATTTTAATCATGTAAAGCTATCTACATATGTCTTTGGTGAACACTCCACTGTAAAGGAGGATGAAAAAAGTAGACAGGATGAAAGTTAAGGCATTAAAAAAATCCTCAGTAATAAATATGCCATTATATACAATATTCACAAACTAAATAAAGAGAAAATTCACCGAAAATACTGGGAACTGCATTCATATAGAATATTAGAAAACAGAAGCGTTACAATTTCATCATCGGGAATGATTTGAATGTAACATATATGTCATAAGCTTGAGATGTCACATATATTGTTATCGTTATCTGTTCCTGCGTAAATAAGTACCAGATTTTCCAACATTCGGATTTATAATAATAATAATAATAGTTGTATACATTAATAGACCCAAATAAACTAGAAGTTTATTTTGTCCTAAATGATAATAGAATATATTGAGATAAAGAAATTACTAGGGTTACATGTTACTTTGATGAATTTTGACATACTGAGTTTGACGTTAAATGAGTTGAAGAATCTTATAGTGCCATATTTCAAATATGTTTATCTCTGAATCAAACAGTTCATTATATAAATATCAGATGGGTTTTGTGGAGATTGACAAACCATTATATAAATAATCAAACGAATGCACGCTATTTTATTGGTTTAAGATCATTCTAGAAAATTTCGATAATGTAATAAGACGAAGATTATCAGAACTGTGTGATATTATAGCGCAATACATTTCGAACAATCTGATCACACATATACTTGTTAAAAGCATTTATATGTAAAAATAAAAGGTCAGCTAGTTTGGAAATGGGGTAAGAGGAGATAAAAGACTGAATCAAATTCAACAACCGAATAGCTTCGATATATTCATCATCTGTGACAAAAGATAGTCGATTCAAAAAAATTTTATATACAATTAATAACTCCCGCCAATCAAATGTATGTACTCTATGATACAATCTTTTCTATTCTTCTATAGACACATATTTATCATACAACTATAAACATGAATGTACAACTTGAATAAATGATTTTGTCAAGAGAAAAAGATTTTCTTTTCTCCTGAAGATTCTCTTTATTTTTATCAAA